GCCCACCATGAAAGCTGGAACGCCCATTAGTGGGCGGTAGGGACCAGGTTGACTACCACTGGTCTAGCTTATAATATATATGAAAATTCCCTATTGCTTTGACCCCCAGAAAGAAAACACTTCTAATTTCCCCCAAACACCTTCTCTAGAGTAACATCTTTTGTCCATCTTGTGGGCCCTAGGCGTCCCCAGGTACTCTGCCTGTAGAGGCCATCTACCATAACTACCTGGTGTTACCCAAACTGCAAAGTACAAAGATTCAAGCTGCTCCCTTGAGCAAATAGACTGTGTGTGTTAAAGGAGTTGGAGCACCACAAATATGTCTCAGAAGAGGGAGAAAGGGATTTGTTTTAAGATTCTTGTCATGGGAGAGAGAGGGTGTGAGGTGAGGTTTAGCACTACAGGAGTCAACTAGTAGCAGTTCAGGCTATACAATTTATTATCTGGTTTCCCAAGGATGTGAATTGGGCATGCACCAAAGAATACTGACATTTCTAGCTTTTCTGACACCGCATGAAAAATTATAATGAGGCAAAGTGGAATCACTTATCATATTTTGGGAGTATAAGATGCACCAAGATTTTGAATAGGCAAATTTTTAAAAAAATGTTTTTGCATTCTGCATACCTCCCAAAAACGGCCTGTTGTTCGTGAAAACGGGCCAGTTTTTTGTCCAAAAAAGGGCATGCATAGCCTTTAGGAGGCCTGTAGAGTCCTCTTGGGGGCGGGGTGTGGTTGGCAAAAATGAGAAAAAAACAGGCCATTTTATGCCCTTCATTTCTGCCCTTCCCAGCCCCCAGGAGCACTCTGGAAGCCTCCTAAAGGCTATGCACAGTCATTTTTGCAAAGTGGGCAGGGTTTCGGAAGGCCAAAAATGCTGTATTCAGTGTATAAGACGCACCCAGATTTTCACCCTCTTTTTTGGGGGGGATGTACATCTTATACTCCACAAAATACAGTATTTATTTTATTTATTAAATTTATATTATCGCCTATTCGCCCATGTGACTCAAGGCGGCTTACAGAATAAAACCCACAATTAAAACAATAAAAACTAACAAAAAGAATCAAGTAAATTAATATTGTACAATATAACAAAATCACTCCCCACCTCCCACGCCCCCACCCCAGCGACAACACATCACACGAGCCATTTAATAGGCTCCAGGGATTCCCCAGACCAGCTGGCAGAACCAGGTCTTAGGCGCCTTCCGGAAGAGTGCTAGAGTGGGGGCCATTCTAATCTCTGGGGGGATGATGTTCCAGAGAGAGGGAGCCACCACGGAGAAGGCCCTTCTTCTGGGTCCCACCAGGTGTATCTCCCTCGGGGATGGGACCCCCAGCCTTCCCTGCCTCCCCGCTCCGATGGGTCAGATGTGATGGGCAAGAGACGGTCCCTCCGATCATCTGGTCCCAAGCCATGAAGGGCTTTCAAGGTGACAACCAGGACCTTGAATTGCACCCGGAAGCAAATCGGCAGCCAATGCAGCGTCTGCAGGAGAGGTGATACATGTCTACACGGGGGTCTGCACAAAACCATGCGGCCACTGCATTTTGCACCAACTATAGTTATAGGGTAATGAATGCAGGTAGTCCTTGTTTAGCAGTTGCCTCATTTAGCAACTGTTTGCAGCGATGACAGTGACAAAAAAAACACAACTTCAGGCAGAGCAAAGGAAAGATGAAAGTAAGATCATAAGGCCAGCCACTTAGTGACCATTTGGCTTAATGACCAGGTTAACAGATAACAGATTAACAGAGTTGGAAGGGATCTTATGGGTCATCTAGTCCAACATCCCCTCCCCCCGCCCAAGCATTTCTGAAAGGTGGAAGAACTCTTCCTGAAAGCCTCCAGTGATGAAGCTCCCACAACTTCTGAAAGCAACTTCTGTTCCATGGGTTGATTGTTCTCACTNGGCAGTACAGTAGAAGTCATTTAAAGGCACAACAGGCTGCATCTTAACAGAACGCACACACCAAGGGGTGTTAAGGGTGTCTTACCTCTACAGTATTTTTCTCCAGGAGGTGTTCCAGAGTTATGCTGGAACATACACAGAGAGAGAGACAGAGAAACAGAGAGGGAGAGAGAGAAAGAAAGGGAGAGAGAAAAGGAGAGGGAGAGATGAGAGACAGAGACAGAGAGAGAAAGAGAGAGAAAGAGAAAGAAAGAGAAGGTGGGAGAGAGAGAAAGGGAGAGAGAGAGAGAAAGAGAAAGGGGGAGAGAGAAAGGGAGAGAGAGAGAAAGGGAAGAGAGAAAAAGAGGGAGAGAGAAATGAGAGAGAGAGAAAGAGAGAGAGAGAGAGAAAGGGGGAGAGAAAGAAAGGGAGAGAGAGAAAAGGAGAGTGAGAGAGAGATGCAGAGAGAGAGAGAGAGAAAGGGAGAGAGAGAGAAATGAGGGAGAGCGAGAGATCTATCTATCTATCTATCTATCAATCAATCAATCAATCAATCATCTATCTCCAAACTTCCCCTCCCTTTGGCTAGACTCTGCTCATGGAGAGAGATCCAAGCCTGGGGAGAGCCAGCTCTTCTGTAGCTCTGGATGGGTTGGAGAAATGGAATGAACTTTCTCTGCTCCACACCAGAAGAGCCACAGCGGATCTTGTCCTTGTCCACCCAAGTTGAGCTTCCCTCTTCCCGTGAATTGACCCCGTGTCCCTCTCCGAGGAGGAATCCCGGTTTGCTACTGATGTGCTGACCGGAAAGCGAGAGGGGTGGGCTCTCACACAGGCAGAAACATCTGGAGAGGTTTTCCTTGGCACCCAAATCCCTGCACCTGGATGGACACATCTCACGTCTTTTGTTTTCTAGCCTGTGCTGCATCTTCTTTGTTGGAATCAAAACCTTCCATTGCTGGACGGGCAGCGTGAAGTTAGTCATGGGAAGCCAGTTCAAAGGTAGATAAATGGAGCTTCCCCCTTTCATTTCTGCCAGCGAGGAGCAATTTATTCTTTTTAAGTCCCTTATTTTAATTTTTAAAGCATCCGTCTGTTTGTTTTTTGCTAGGAGGTTTCAGGCGCTGAGCGCTGTGGATTTCATGGCAAGTTCTTTTCAACTTCCCTCCAACTGGCAAGAGGAGGTTGGTGGGACTGTCCTGGTTTTTATTTTTCAATCCTTTCTTTTTTTTTTTCCCTGGTCCAGAAGACCAGAAAAGACACTTCTGCTGTGGTTGCATTCGTTTCCTTTAAGGCCCATCTCTTAGATTAGAGCCTGCAACTGTTTACATGTCTTTATATTTCCTTCTTCATTGTCTTGTTGTTGTTAGTTGCGAAGTTGTGTCTGACTCAACGTGACACCCTGGACAACGTTCCTCCAGGCCTTCTTGTCCTCTACCATCCCCTGGAGTCCATTTAAGCTCACGCTGACTGCTTCAGTGACTCCATCCAGCCACCTCATTCTCTGTCATCCCCTTCTTCTTTTGCCCTCCATCGTTCCCAGCATGAGGNTATTCCAGTATTTGAGGGGCTGCCACAAAGAGGAGGGGATCAATTTATTTTCCAAAGCACCTGAAGGCAGGACAAGAAACAATGGTTGGAAACTAACCAAGGAGAGAAGCAACCTGGAACTAAGGAGAAATGTCCTGACAGTGAGAACAATTAATCAATGGAACAACTTGCCTCCAGAAGTTATAGGAGCTCCATCAAGGGAGGCTTTCTAGTGCATGTAGAAGGGACCTTGTAGATCTCCTGCTTGTGCATGGAGTTGGATGACCTACAAGGTCCCTTTTGACTCTGTTATTCTATGTTATTCAATTCCTACAGAGGTTCTACTGCTCAAATGTAGCTTGTTAATTTTGGGGATTCCTCTTCACTATTGTTGTTGTTCCTTCCAGCTGTTGCCTTTCTGGTTGCCTACCATCAAAACAAAGCCCTTATCGGAGACCGAGGGCTTCTACCATGCAAACTGTTCTTGGAGAATGTGAAGCGCCATTTCAAGGGCAGGATAAACATGGAGACATTAAGCTATGCCCCAACTCTGATCTGGTTCTTGGATTGGTCCAGCATGGACAGCATCCTTGATGCCTTCGCTCTCATTGGTTTGGCCATCTCGGCTTTTGTCCTGGTCACTGGATGTGCCAACATGATTCTCATGACTGCTGTATGGATTATCTACCTCTCCTTAATTAACGTGGGACAGATCTGGTAAGTCTATGTTCATACTTTCCTGCTTGAGAACAGACTCGTATACCTGCCTTAATAGACTTATATACCTCCCCTTACTTAGTGCTTTACAGCTCTCGCCAAGGGATTTATAGAATCAGCATATTGCCCCCAATAATCTGGATCATCATTTTACTAACCTTGGAAGAATGGAAGGCTGAGTCAACCTTGAGCCAGTCAGGATTGAACTCCAGACTGTGGGCAGACTCGGATCGCAATGCTGCATTCTAACCATTGTGTCACCACAGATCTTGGAGAATTGGCAAATTTCTCTGATGTGATACCCGCCTATTTCCCTTCTTACCTTTAATTGTTTTAGATTTAGTTTGAATTTAAGTGGGAGAGCCAGTTTAGTGTAATGGTTAAAGCACCAGGATAAAAAATAGAAGATTGGACATGAAGCCAGTTGGGTGATCTTGGGCCAGTGGTGAAATCTAATTTTTTCCCCACTGGTTCTGTGGGCGTGGTTTGATGGGAGGTGTGGGTGTCATGTGACTGGGTGGGCGTGGCCAACTTTTGTTTCACTTTTTAAAGCATTTTTAGTACCACCCGTTTAGGTAGTATAGGTAGTAAAAAATGCTTTAAAAAGTGAAATAAAGAGGGCCCAACAATCGTCCAGCTCACAGCTGAGCTGTGCAATTGTCAGAAGCTTTTTTTTTACTACTGGTTCACAGAACCAGGAACAATCATCCCTATCAGTTCAGCCAAACCGGGCCAAACCGGGAGGATTTCACCCCTGTCTTGGGCCAGTCACTTTCTCTCAGCTCTAGAAAAAGAGGCAATGGCAAGCCACTTCTGAAAAATCTTGCCAAGGAAACTGTAGGGACTTCTCCAGGCAGTCTTTGGGAATCAGACCCAATTGAAAAGAAAAAAAATACTTAGTTTACTTTATTGTCATTGCACCTTGTACAATGAAATCAAATACTATCTACAGTGTACATCATGCATCCTTCACATGCCATACAATTGAATTGAAAACCCCTGATATTGCATTAATATTGCACTATACCGTAGTATTCAATATAGTTACTGCTCTGGGATAGAAGCTGTTTTTCAGCCTTTTTGGCCTTGTTTTTATTGTCCTATCAAATAGGACGTTGATAGACTGCAAAGCAGCTGTCTGCATCTGAACCTGGGTATAAAGGCCTTTGAAATTCTCTACTTGGACCTCTTCTTCCTCTGACCATAAGCCAGAAGAAGAAACACAAAGTCCATTATAGTGGCTGCCCAGACTCCCTCTTGCCCAAATCTGTAAGCAGAGAATATGGGTAGGGCATTTAAATGACCCTCCCCCCCCCACCAGGAGAAGGAGAGATTGCCCAATAATTTCTCAAAGCTAGAAGCTACTTAATGAGGAGAGAGCAATGCTCTTGAACAGGAGTCCCCAACAATGGCAACTTTAAGACTTGTGGACTTTAATTCCCAGAATTCCTCAGCCAGCTGGCCTTATCTGGCTTGGAGAACCAGCAGGCTGATATCTATAAAACTTAGCAAGGAGTCTTGGAGAGTCACGAACCAATTAAGCAAACTAATTGTCTCCTGCAAACTCCACTCCCCTTTAACTCCTCTTTTATTCCCTATGGGTGGGGCCATTCATCGTCCACCTGTGGCCTTCCTCCCAAGTTGACCCCTGTTCTTTAGCTGTTCCCTTATCTGGCAACTCTGCGTATGTGCACACTGGGAACAGGCTCCAGCTGTGCCTCACTGATGACTGACTCCGAAGGCAGCTGATAACTGTCAGATGGCCCTGGCTCTATCTATGCCTCCAACACAGAGCCCTCATCAGAGCCTTCCCCAGATTCCAGGACTGGCCCATGTGGCTCCCCAGTCTCCTCACTGTCCGAATCTGCTGCCAGCTCTGGTGGCCACTGGCGGGCCACAATGGGCAAGGTGGCAGTAGGTGGTTTTCAGCGAAAAGGTTTTAGCAACCTGCAAAAGAATTCAAAGTTGTGACGTAATGCAATATTTGAGGATTTTCAAGGTACAGCTTGGAATGTCAGAGGATTGTGCTGCGTTTCTCAGATGGGGCTTCCTATAAAAATGAGGATGTTTGTACTGTAGGAAATCAAGAAAACGGCCTTCTGTGTTGCAAAAACCAGTTTATAGATGTGAACGCATAGGAGTTTTGGCTGCTCCTGGATGGGGAAGTGAAATGCCCTGAGTCACATCTTCCATAGAACTGAAAGGAGCATCAAGCTCTTTTGTGGAGGTCCTGGCCGCGAGCAGCTTATGGACAGAGAATGTTATGCTCCCTTGGCTGACCACTGTGCACACTTGCTCTCCCAAACGGAGGTCCGAGCTGAGTCTTTGCAACCCTTGCAACCGTCTTTCTTGCAAGATATCTTCTGAAAAGCAGCTCCTTTCAGGCACGGTTCACTCATTCCAGCACTGTGGTTTTCTTTAGAAATTGCTTTGGATATTTGAGATTGGATTGTTAGGCTAAGGTTACTTAGGGTAACTGCTCCCGTCCTCTTCTGTTTGCACAAAGTGGACGGAGTCCACCTGTTAGACCAGGTAAATTATGGCAACTGGTAGCTTTAATGATCAAGAGTTAATGGCAGTTTGATCAAGGTTGGTGATAAGACAAGGAAGAGAAATTTCTGCTTTACCCCACTCTCCCATTTATCTTCATTTTAGTGATAGCACAATATGGGAAAGAGCTGTGTGAAAGGATCCTGTTCCTGCGATTGTTCGCTTGTGGTTATATTTGGTGTTTTATTTTTTAGATTTAAATTCCTAGCAAAGGGTCAAGACCATGTCATTATTGTTGTATTTACACTGCGATGACAGTTGCTAGGCCTTGCTAGAGAATCCTCTTGAGCCAATTGTGCCTTGATTCTTGAAATTGAAATTTAAGAAAGTAAAGACTCTGGAGTGAAGCTTGACCCTTGCTGGCCACATGAAATAAAACGATTCCTTTTCCCAGGACTTGTTTTGAAGCCCCAAAGTGCCTCAGTGACTCTAGAACAGAGGTCTTCAAACTTGGCAACTTTAAGACTTAGAAACTTCAACTCCCAGAATTCTTCAGCCAGCGTAACCTACTCTCTTGTAATCCCTTCCTCTGCAATCTCTCCACTTAGATCAGAGGTCTTCAAACTTGGCAACTTTAAGACTTGTGGACTTCAACTCCCAGANTCCAAAGCACCTGAAGGCCAGACAAGGAATAATGGATGGAAACTGAACAAGGAGAGATTCAATCTTGAAATAAGGAGGAACTTTCTGATAGTGAGAACAATCAACCCCTGGAACAGAAGTTGCCTTTGGAAGGTATGGAAGCTTCATCCCTGGAAGCTTTCAAGAAGAGACTGGACTACCATCTGTCAGAAATGGTGTAGGATCTCCTGCTTGGGTAGGGGGTTGGAGTAGATGACCTCCAAGGTCCCTTCCAACTCTGTTAATCTGTAAGTGGCAGATGGTCCAGGCCTTTTAAGTCTACATCCAGTTACTCTTGTTAGGCTGTGGATGTTTTCTAGATGTACTGGTTAATATTCAGCTAATTCATTTAAAAAATGGCTGCAGAGACTTGAGTGTCCAAATCTTCTGGACAATTAAGATTGAAGAGCAAGAGAACAGATCTAGGACCAGATGGAAAGAGTTGATCCCACAGAGAACAAGGAAAAAGTAGATTATTGACATGGAACATATCATTTCAATATTATTAATACTAGTCTTCTCAATAATACTAATATTCAAAGACATTTCAATGTAGTTTCAAGCTGCCTTCCCCTGTGGGCATTAATATGTCCTCATCCTATGTTGTCCATCAGGAGGATGCAGGGTAAGAGAGGAAGCATCGTTTCCAGAATGGGTCACCCAAAGCTATGGGGTGGATGCAAGTGGTACAGGGGACCCTTCCTCTGGTTTGTGGGCTGCCCTTGTGCCATGGCAAACCATCCAAGAGGGCTTTCCTCAATCCAACCCCTTCGGAATGGGTTGGCTTGCAGTTCATCTCCAGCCAGCGTGCTCCGGAAGATGCTTCGTCTTGGCTGGTCACTCTATCTGGAAAACATTGGAGAGAGGAGCCTGGGAACCCCGTGGCTTTATTCCCGGAGTGCCATCCATGCTTCAGGCAGAGGAAGCACAGCTTTTGAGACCTGCCCACTGGAAAGTCAGGAATCCACTTCCGACTTGCCTTGAAAAAGGGACCTGCCAATGATCTGAAAGGGAATTTGGCTGGATGCTTCCTGGATGAAAATGTGTGGTGACGTTGGTGTAACAAACATCATGTAGAAAAAGAGAGAGATTTTATCCCTCTAAGAAATAGCCCTCAAATGTGAATCTTTGTGACTGCAGGACTGCTCATGAAGCCACAGTAAAGGGGACGCAGAACCATTTACTCCTCTGGTAAATAGAAGATAGAATAATAGAGTTGGAAGGGACCTTGTGTCAGCGTTCCAAATATCATGCAGAATTAAATCAGGGTCCAAGGCAGAGCTATCCTTAAAGTTCCAATTTAATAAGNGCCCAGTTCCTGCAACCGTTCATCGTATGTTTTAGTCTCCAGTCCTCTCATCCTCTTGGTTGCTCTTCTCTGCACTCTTTCTGGATTCTCAACATATTTTTTTATAGTCTGGTGATCAAAACTGGATGTAATATTCTAGGTGTGGTCTTACTAAATCAATTGTAATTGCTAAATAAGGACTACCTGTACAATTTGTGGGTAAGGATGGTTTTGAATACTTAAGCACTGAGGAGAGGGTTCTTTCAACAGACTTTATTGGAACAGAACTCTTCAACAAGAACAAGAAGAATGACACAACGCCTGCCTGACAGCTATTTATACTTGACAGCTGTCAGGCGGGGAACCAATCAGGGAAGTGTAATTCTCCCGGCAGCCGTGCCAGAGCCAATCAGTTCTCCTTCCGGCTCTGGCTGCGGCTGTCGGTCGCTTTGGGAGGACGCAACAGATGGAAATAACATATTTTTAAAAATATACGTTCTGAACATTGTTTATCTTTAAAAATATTTCTAACTGAAGAACG